ACACGCACACACACACACACACACCACACACACACACACACACACACAGACACACACAACACACACACACACACACACACACACGAACGGACAAAAAACGCAGATACTCATAAACAACCACCCCCTTCACACACACCTGTCTCGACCTCCACCTTTGGGCGAGCCACTTCCTGGAGCCGCCGCCGCGGGCCGTGCGACCCCCTCGCCCGGCACGGCGAAGGAGTCGTGTTCGGGTGATCGGCAGGACAATCGCCGACCCGATCCAGGACGCCAAGGCCGAGCCGCCGGGGACAGGGAGGGACGCCAGCTTAGTCATCTCCCCTTCTCACCTTTGTCCCTCTCCTTCCTCTTCTCTCTATCCTCTTTCTCCCTCTGTCTTCTGTACTCCTCTTCCCACTTCTACCTCTCCTCCTCCCATCCCTCTCACATCTCGATCCATCCCTATATGGACGTGTATTGGGGAAAGATCGAAAGGGAGCCAAGGCATATAAGCAAGCGAAACCAAAACAAAGACCAGAGAAAGTAAAGATAATAGAGAAAAAGAAGAGAAGATAAGAGGAGAGGAGAGAGGAGAAGAGAAGAGCTATGATAAGAGAATAGAAAAGCGAGAAAGAGAGAAGGGACTCGAGGCATGCGGTGGCACCCTCCAGCCTTCCTTGCTCGCCTTGGCATTTGCGGGCGGCACTGAGAGCTGGCGCCCCTCCCGCCTCCCCTCCCCTCTTCCCCAACGTCACATTCCCGCGCCACTCACAGCAATTGAACACACACTTCGCCACCTCCTCCCCGGGTCTCAGCCCCTTACATACTGTAGGTTTACCTTGAATCTTGCCCGGGAATTTTACTATTCGTCTACCATATCAAGGACCAAAGGCCGGCAGTCACTTATCCAGGCAAAAAAAAAAAAAAAAAAAAAAAAAAAAAAAAAAAAAAAAAATCACAGACTGCGAAACCTGCATTGCAATAGCAGCAAGCAAGCGTCTCGGCGAGCATCGGCCAGACAGCGAGAGAGTTTAGCTACTTGTCTGGGTCTATTTGCTCAAAGCCCTGCTCTCTCCCGTGAAGCGTGGCTTATAGGTCAGGATATGTCAGTTTATTGCCAACTATGCTCGCCTGACTCGCGTCGCGGGAAAAGACGAGTCAAAGTCGCTCATATGCTTCGCTGCGCTCGGCTCCGAGGCATTTGCTTGCTCAAGTTTAAATATTTTGAAATAGCATTGGTGTTGATGGGGAGGGGGGATAGAGTGGGGGGGAGTGAGGGAAGGAGGGAGGAGAGAGGGAGAAGGAGGGGGAGAAGAGAGAGAAGTGAGTGATAGTGAGAGACAGAGAGAGAAAAAGAAAGAGAGAGAGAGAGAGGTTATTAAAAATGGTTCCCCTCATCATGTACCCAATAACTGCGAACCTACAAGACAATTACAAAAAAAAAGAAAAAAAATCCAAAAAACGTATCCAATCAAAACATTACCTGGAGCTCGCATAGGCCACAGAAAAAAAGGAAAAAAAGGATTAAATATGACCTTTAGAGTTGCTACGACTCCTCAGACCCATTTCACAATCCTTGATCCTCCGCGACCAAATACCCTCAAGACCAGGAAAAAAGAGAGGAAAAAACCCTGGCCCGAAGAAGAAATCCTCCACAAGAGAATTATCCTCTGCGATTGCCAACGGTAAAGGGACTACTTCTTGCCACCTTTCCCAACTTGTTCTCCTCCACCTCTTTCCCTCTCCCATAACCTCCCCCGCGCCCGCAATTCTTTTTTTTTCTTTCTCTTTCTTTTTTCTTCCTGTCTTCTCTCTTTTTCTTTTCTTTTACTATTTTCTTTTCTTTTCTTTTCTTTTCTTTTCCATAGCCTCCCCTTCCCTCCCTCTTTAGCTTTTAAATTTCCCTTTCGTTTTTTCTTTATCTTATTCTATCCCTCCATTCCTACTTCACCTTTTTGTCTGTCCTCTTCCTCTCTTTATACTTCCTTCATCCTGCACTTCTTCCTCTCTCCCTTTACTCCCCCTCCCCCTTTCCTCCCTTCATCCGTCCATTCTTCCTTCCCTCCCTCCATCTCCATCCCACTCTCTCGCTCTCTTTCTTCCCCTTCGTCTCCCTCTCTCACTCTTCCTCTCCTCTCGCTCTTTCACTTACTCTTCCTCGTTTTCTTTCAAGTATTCCCTTCACCTACAACCTGCCTTCTCATCACACACCCCTCGTCCTCTCTGACCCTCTGTCGACCACTGCGTAACTTTTTTTTTTTCCTTTTCAAACTTCTTCCA